ATTGCTAGTCAAATGTATGCCGCCATTGTTGACTCCGATGGAATTCAAAAAATATCAAATTGCTTATGAATGTAAAGTGATGAGGAGACAAGCTTTACAAAACAGCCATCTCACTCCTTGAGAAGAAACAAAATACCAAAAACTAATCGTGATTCTTCCAAAGATCATGACTTAATATACTCGGAAATATTGAAAGAGGTGAGTAAAAATCTGAGGCAAGTCACTACAAGACTAGGAAATGAGGTTGAATCAAGTTGTAGAAGCTATAGGCCACTAAAATATGTGATTGCCTATAGTGATAGACTGAGATTAAGGAGACAAAGATTACAAGTGTTTTCCAAACTAGGAGCAAAGAATCTCTTGATGCAAGACAATTAAACTTCTTTGTCTTCTTGGTCTTACATGAATGCGTCTAAGGAGAGAAGCATGACTTACATGTAGCTTCAACACATCGTTGATGCTATTGCACTTCCTCTTCTCTCTAAGAAAGAGTAAGTTGCATATGTTTGTGTTTGATAAAAAAATATTGCATAAAAAATAAGTGGAGTTTCTTTAAAATGCTATAACGTGACCAACACTAGTCTAAGAAGATTAAGGATGCTCTTTTAAATAGATGGAGTTGCATATGTATATGTGTTTGATTTAAAACTTTTGCATGCAAAACATGCATTAGCGTGAAGAGCATCAGATTCAGGAGTTGTGACGTTCGAACACAAGTCTCAAGGAGCAAAAGGTTGTTGTGAAGCAAAACATTGGCAAGAACACAAGATGAATTGTTCAATCTTTGTGTTAGCAAGCATTAGAAAATTTAAATGTATATAATAAATAGCAACATATGAGAGCGTTGTTAAGACTTTTTAAAACCAACTTCAAGAAATAGTAGTCTCATCTACACATCATTTACCAATTCTTTCAAAAAGATGTTATGATTACTTGACAGTCAATTAAAATAATTTGGATTAAAATGACTGATCTAGCAATCCATGTTATATGTTGATGAGTTTGATGAAACAACAGAAAAGCTTGGTATACTTCATAGGGTACACAGGTCCCACAAACGCATTATCTAGAAATGCATAGATCTTTTAACTAGGAGATTAAGTTTGATAATCTACAACAGATTTGTCCCTTGTATGAACATTAAAATTCATTAGTTCTTTTGCAATATTAAAACATGTTGATAAAGTGTCAAACAAGTTGACTTTTGCACTATACATGTAAATACATATTGTATTTCATATGTCACAATTGCAAAAACATGTTTTATGATTAAAAAAAATTATCAAACAAGTAATAACATTTATTTTTCTAACCTTAATAGTTAATCATGAGAAATTTGAGATAAGAAATATATTTTAAAAATTAATTTGATTTAATAAATGTTGCAAAATAGATTTTGTTTATAAAAATTATATTCATCATATGAATCAATTTGAAAACCAGATAGAACTATAACTAATGCATCTTTGATAATTTAAAAAATTTAACAAATGTACAACAAAAGTATTTGTAACCATCTTTGAATAATTACAAATAAAACAAAAAATATTCAAGATGTAAATATAGTTGCATAATAATGAAATTATAATTGTTTCATTATAACATTATGTTCAACACGTCAACAATCCATATGCTTGATAGGTTAAAATTATATCTATTAGCTGAGATCAACATATCATCCATCCAAAAAGAATGATTTAGGTGATGGAAGTAATATTTCATCAACTTGTATTTACTAGTAAGATCTATATAGGAGAGAGTATTATCATTCTAGTTATCTTTCATCTTCAAAATTGTGTTTCATTTTTGTTTGAGTTTATTTATTTCATACTTCCTATAATAATAATATGAAAATATATCTTTATACTTTACAAAAATGTTACTAAAGTAATAAAAAATATGTCATATATCTTTGATACCAAGAATATTTTTTAAAAAATTTTTAAACATACATTTCTTATATAATACTATTTTATATTAATCAAAAAAACACTAAATTTGTATTTCAAAATTTAATCTTATCTTTGTAAATTTTCTAACCTTTATAAAAAAACTATGTTCTATGTCAAGATTGTATTGCTCAATTCATGAAGTTTATTGGATAAAACATATCAAATTTAGCAAAATATTGTTTTCATTGATTTAATTTAATGTTTTGATAATTTCATGATTTTATCTAACTTTTTCATCAATATTAATCTTGATTTAATTGCAAAATGTATGTGAAAGGACATTTTTTTAAATGTCATAGTTTGTCAAAATTAAAAATTTATTTATGTTGATCTTAGTATCAATGATCCTAAAAGAATAAAAACTGATGGTAAAATCTTATATAATTAAAATATAAATGCGATCCAAAAAAATGATGAGTATGCTCACTTATAAGTCAAAACTGTGCAAGAAATTTGATCACCTTACGATTTGATACTTTGAAAGAGCATTGTATGCAAATTGTTAAAACAAAGTCTACTCTATCTTTAAGAAACCGATTGTCACAATTGTTTGACCTAAGTATTTTGGATCTACAAATGACAAACACTTCCTAGCTGCTGATTGTTAAACCAACGTGTACAGATGATTATTTGACGACATTGCACTAAATGATATTGCATGTGTTTGAAACTGTGCGAGTAGGTTAGTTGGAATAAAGAAGATCCAATTCGATGAGGATATCATCTGTGGATTTTAGTACGGTGATGCTCCAAACGAATTGTTCAGGACGGTTTTACAAGACGGATTGCTTTTAGTACAATCTGGATGGAACAACTATTCGCAGGCTGTTTGTGATGAATCAGATTTAGTGGTTTGATTATTGGGGAAAATAACTATGAATGAGTATTGACCTTACATAATTCAGTATACTATATGGAATCGAATCATGTGCATCTTAACCCATAACTTGGCACCGCTGTGGAAGATTGACACAACGTTGAACAAACCTTGATTGGTGAAAGCTTTGATATTGGATAAGAATAACCAAATAAATAAATAAATAACCAAAGAAAATTGTCTATATGAACTTCTATTCAAACCTAATGGCATTTTCAATTTTCAGTAAATTGGTATGCCGAGCATTCTCTTGTAACATTTCCACTAAGATGTTCACTCGAAAGTTTTTAGTTGTGATGTTCAAGTCTACGTACTATCATGGAAAAACCATAAACTCCAATTGTTGACTTGCTCATGTTATGGAGGACAAAAAATGAACTCATCGCTACGAGTACTATAATACCAAAATCAAATATCAGACTTAATTGAGTTGGACTAACAGCAAGCACAAGCGCTTGCAGTATATGGAAAGTTTTGAAGTTTATACGGTTAAGTAGTTACCACCTCAACCTGCAGATCGCGTAGAGAGAACTAATATCGACGGTAATCTTATCGTTATTTGGGATAGTCTTGCAGCAAATTTTGTACGGCTGAACCTGCAACGAGCGAGCGAATAAACGCATTGCTAACGTAAAGTGAGACAAACAGTGTTGATATATGCAGAAGTGATGGATTGCGGTTTCCTATGTCGATGCAGCTCTCTGACAAGAATGCAAAAAGTCATTTCTTTTGTCAAAGGGAGGTCGCAGTCACCTCGATTTTCTCAGAGTCCTCCAAGAGAGGAAGTATGAATTTGTTTCATGTTGCCCGGCCACTCTGCTTTGCAGAAATGACAGAACACTTTATGCGCTGAGAGTAAGCTTGAAGGTAAATGATGTTATCCAGGCGAGTCGGCGCTTTAAATCAGCCATTTTTTTTCCCCAAGGAACTCCAGACGGCATTCAATATATTTCCGTGAGTCCCAGAACACTTTGTTCTGTTGCGTATGTTAGCAAGGGTATAGGAATGGACCATTTCCATCGATGGAGAGCCAGAACGATCTAGGACAACATTGAAATTGCAGATGTGACCAACCAGTTCAGGAGCATATTGGCAATTTCAGTATCTTCTTGCATGAGAGGCCATGAAATATTGTCTGAAATAAAAATCAAAGCGACAGCGATGTCAAACTAGTGCAGTTTTGGAAATTTTTTCGGATTTCTGGGTACGAGATTTGAGGAGCTTTTGTCTTCTGTTTCTGTGAATGTCAACAACTGAAAAGACACATCTCTGGTTATTCCAGCCAAATTTCCTGGGATCTAAACTCATTCATGTTTTCATTTTATACAGTCCAGACACTTATACCTCGACGTTTAAGGAAGTCAGATGTCAGATGACTGTAGTGATGCTGCACACTCTGCCAGGCATTAGATGATTTCATGGGAAGTTTGCATTTACCATCTAGAATCCAGGTGTGCCATTTAAAGCGTCATTTTCCTGCATTTGCAACGTTACCTCGCAGTCATCAGTAACTGCCAGAATGTTTTGATTCGCTCTAATATCTACGATGAATAGATGCACAATTCTACAATGCAGTCAAGAGCAAAATGGTAGAAGTGAATGTTGTACTGAGATACTGTGGCAGGGTCTTGGGGAAAAACGATCCAGACAAACATCAGTGAAGACGGAGAATGTGAGCGATACTTACGATTTCAGTTAGTTGGATTGCTGCCAATATTGTCAATCATCTCTCTCACTGCACTTTTCCCGTGAAGAACACTGGTAAAGATCTGCAGCATGTCACAGAACAACTCCACGCTTCCTCAAGCGACATAAGGAATCTACGATACAATTGCCTCTATGCTAGAAATTGAGTATGGATTTTCAAATCATCTTCCACATAAAATTGCCGCAATTTCATGCAGTCATGTTCAAATTCAGCTGTTGCTCTCAACGATCGTCACAAGTAAGCAGAATGACTCTACAGGCAATACAATTACAAAGCGAGTTCGTCATGTTCACGAAATCTAGTAATGAGAACAACTCAAGTTATCAAACTGGATTTTGCTGAGGAACGACGACGCCACACATTTTAAGCATTACCCAGGCACGAAGTGCGCGGGGAGCATGTTTGGGCCTGATTAGAATGATGATTGATCCCAAAACCAGAATAGGATGACAACACCGCAATTAAAAACAGAAAGCAACGGCGTAAAAGATATATTTGTGACAAGATATATATTCAGAGCAAAAACCCGGTGGCTTACATCATGTCCCTTCTTACTACTGTCTCTATCTTCCTACACCTAATCAATAAAGCTAAGCTATAATGATACAGGGGTTCTGATCTATAATGTACAAATTTCGGAATTTAGTACGCACTGCTAGTTACAAAGGCGCAAGAAAATAACTGCACTTAAGCTAATTCGTTACGGATCAGCAGTCGAAATCCCCCATATCCCCGAGCATATCCCCGATAAGCAATCCCCCAAGCGCACCTCCTAGCAATCCTGCACCTAAGCCTAAACCGCCGTTAGATCTTTTAGGGGGTTTTTGATAGTATTGCGGAGGCTGCGGTGGGTAGTAGGGAGCTTGCGGTGCGTAATATGGAGGCGGAGCATACTGCTGCCCGTACTGAGGAGGCGTGGGGTAGCCGGTCGGGACTGGATAGCCTACTGCAGGATACGCTGTCACAGGCTCTGATGAGGAGTTCGGAGCACTCGTAGAACCCGAAGCACCTGCGGCACTAGGAGGATTGGAGGTTGGAGGATAAGCGGGGACGGAGGCATTCACTCCAGTTGTTCCGCCCGTGGTATACCCAGTTATTCCTGTCTCTGAGTCGATTTTCTTCGGAGGTGGTGGTGGATATGCTGCAGCGGAGCCGTAGGGCGAAGCAGACGCGTAAGGCGAAATTGGACCTAAAGAGCCGTAATTTTGAGGAGGGTAAACTCCTCCCGCAGGTGGTGCATAAGCAGAATTCCCTGGATAGTAAGAGCCAGCACTCGCGGTTCCAAACGTGGCCGGAGGATAAGTTGGTCTCGCTTGATTCTTGTAATCCTGCGAGTATGCATATCCTTGTTGCGTCCCTGCGTTCTGGATTGTCCTCTTCTCCCCCAGCTTCACCGACACCTTCAGCTGACCTTTGGCCTTTCCGGAGGGTCTGCGCACCTCGTACTCCTCGATCGAGGCGTCCGTCTTCGGCTCCGAGCCGTCTGAAGTGACAGGAAGGTGAAGAGGAATGGAAACCGTACCAATCAGCTTATCGCTCAAAGCGCCATGGCTGTAAATCTCCAAGGTGAGGTACGATCCTCCCCTCTCCAAAAAGCGCTCATCGCATGTGAGGGTAAGTTTCGAGTTCCAAGAAGGATTCAACCCTCCTTTGGTGTCGACGTTTGTCTTACGCCTTTGCTGGGGAAAGATGTACGCTTCAACATAGGAGGTCTGTTGTCCACCAAAAGTCTTCACGTTCTTTAAGTCCGAAGCAGAGACAACATTCACCTCAATCGTCCTCTCCTCCATAGGATTTCTTCCGATACCCGTAGGTCACGCGACTTCTGCGACCGAAGCCCTCGACCGATAGTACAGCAAGCGGATCAAACCAAAGCAATCAACACCAAACCTGACGCAATTGCCAACCTGCTCGTGTAATGTGCTCACCGCACGAATGCCGACTCACAGCGCCAGACGGCACAATATCTTCGCGCGCTTTTGTATTGAACTGAGCCTAAGCTCAAATGTCTCGAGGGGTATAGATCTGTACAAGGGATGAAAACCAAGAAACGAAAACGTTGTGAAGGGACTCAGCCGATTCGAATGTACAATGGCTGGCCAGACCCCAATCCTCGTCATATAAAGAACTTTGCAAGAGTAAGAAGAACGCGGGAATATGCCGGAATCTGGAATGACGACCTTCGCGACCAAGTTCCAAAGCAGCTCTTGACACTGGGGGCCGTGACGAATCAACTGGAAAATGCCGTGCGTGACGCGTTGCAGCGTCGGACCAATATTCGGTGTCTGCGAAGTTGCCACGTTCCTGCCCGTCATGGATGACATAATACGACGAGAAGAATCTCGAGACCCGCGTCAGTTCTGCGATCCGGAGCGATTCTCGATCGTCGATATGCCGTTATATTACGCGATTAACTTGCCCTGCCGACTATCGGCAGTCTCTAAGGGGAATGCCTTGATCTTCGGCTGATTGCAACGATTCACTCCAAACCTGTCGCGGTTTTGGGCGAAGTAAATATTCTTTTTCCCTGCTATGCATCGACCTGTCCTTTAATTAGGCAACAACGCGTTTTTGCGGCGTGACTTTCCGCCAACTTTCCGGCTACAGTTGAGCTCCCATCATATTTCCCATCTATGTGGCCCATGCTCTTTTTCCCATGAGGAGTTCAGAATCTCCGCCTTTGAAGCGTCCATGGGCAACGAGATTGCTTGAATCCGAATGTTCTTCTGCGATCTTTGTCTCTTCTAGGATTCGGCTGGCGTCAGCAATTGATCCTTTCTTTCTGCTCAAGTCAACAGAGATAGCGTTGCAAAACAAGGTAAAGGAGGGAGCAAGTCATTTAACGAAACGATGGACTATCCACGCAAGTCTCTTGTGGATGAAAACATAAGAAAAACATTGGGCTAGGGTGTATAGCCGAGGAGTAAAATATATTGCAACTATCTCCGTTTTACAAATTTACACTGGAAGAAAAAAGAAGTCAAAGTTACTGGTATCTTATGGATGACATCACCTAGTTTTTTAAAGAGCAAAAATGCGTAAAATATTCTATACTGTATGCTGAAGAGAGTTACTCTATTGCATTGTTGCATAGAAAATTCTTGATCACCCGGCCATGAAAAAGAAATGTATCCTTTCTGTTAACTGGCTTTCTTCCTTTACTCTTCCTTCAACTACATTATAGTACATAGGGACTAGTAGAAAATTAGAAAACAAGAATATTAAGTATGACGTATTTTATCGTCAATTATGCCTCAATCTTCCTAAGTGCTCTTTAATCATCATGCATAATCTATAAATGTATGTTTTCTATTTTCAACAAGTTTATAATTGTTCACCCTACACTCTATCACAAACTAATATCCTTAGTCATATCTACCAAAATCATCACACATCCAATTCAATTTTTAGTACTTTAAATTAGCGCTTTTTTATGCATCAAGATATTATTTTGAAATTTTTTTTGATAGATAAAATTTTGTAATAATATAAAAATACCGTAATTCCATAACAATCGATGCAGTCTGGTGATAAATAAGTAATTTTTAATTTTCATTTGAGATTCAAAACTAAGCAAATTGAGACAAAATTTTAATCTAAACACAAACCTAACTTTATAATCATCTTCTTGTTGAATTCAGTATGTTGAAATCTTTTTAACATATATATAACCATCTAAGATACATCCAGTACCTTACTGTCCTACTTGAAGTCATCACATCAATGTATCAATTAACTTATTTAATCCAATCTTTGAGCATGCCTCAGAATCCTACTTGACAGCTTCACAACCATCTCCTTCAATTTCTTAATTTCGTATCAAAAGCAATAGAATTTCAAGTTTGAATTTGTAACCAAAAAAAAAACCAGGTGTGATTGCTCAATATTCCTTACATATTCTGCACATCCATACATTACTTCCATCTTAACTAAAACCAGCATGGAAGGAACTCACAACCGATGAACTCTTCCGCACATCCATCATCTTTATTAAATATATTAAATAAAATTCAGAAAAGTATGATTCTACCGTGATTTTCACGAACTACAAAAACAAAAGACTCAGAGACACTTTAGAGCACGTACTTTTTATCATGACAACAAACACATCATTATGCCAACATGCGTAGTGCAAATTACATGCAACATTCAGAGTGTAAGTGAGTTTTGAGTTGACCACAACCACCCCACCAGCATTTTACTTGTTTAATCAAAAGAAAGAAGTATCGATTCATATCGAAATCACCTCCTCTGTATATGCTTACATACAATAAATTGATTTTAATTGTTGTCACCAATGCCACAAGCAGATACTTTATAAAGTGAAAAAACACAACAAATCGGAAAGAAGATGTGGTTATGAGACATGAGCACTATGGGCAGTGGATATAAAACAAGTTAGGGTGAAATGGTCATGGATCACATCTCGAACATGACCAATGAACACATTGTGACACGAGAAGCATCTAGCTATTTCTCGTCCTCTTGTTCGGGAATAGTGATAAACTAAAAGTTGGCCCAGGAATAAAATTCGAGAAAAAGATCTTATTCGTCAGAAAGGGTCAAAAAAGAGTAGTCTAGAAACTACAGATGCTGCGACTCAATCATCAGTGAAAAGATATTATTATCCGAATTATTGTATATTGCTACCTGTATTTCAGAGAAACGTATGATGTCATTGTCATTGCACCTACCAAAACTTTCATTGAACCATATCCTAATCCGCAAAGAAGATAAGAAAAGTCAAGTACGTTGGGCCTAAGACCTACGCCAGTGTGACTATGAGACCACAGGAAAAATACAGAAGAGGTGATTAAAGAATCAGCTTGCAAGAATAACAATGTAGGATAAACAAAGGCATGTGAGAAGCATGGACAAGATAAAAAATTTACACAGTCAGGATTGAATTCTTTCCCACATCAAACTATTGGTTTGAGGGAGAATGTAACAATGAATGGCATGGCCAACAATATGTAAAGTATTGATGGTTTTATGCCAAATAAATCATTGAAATATACTAACTTAATATAGCTAGTGATTTTTTTCCCCACATGTAATGGTGCCAAGTAGATAACAATAGAGAATGGGAAGACTCCATCAAGCTCTACTGAGAAACAAAACAGGATACCATGACTTACGCCCCAATACTTTCAGAATGAGAAAAAATCCGACGACACCTAAAACATGTGAACTTTGAACTATCAAGTTCAAAATTTTGTACGCAGCAATAAGTTTGCTCAAATATAGAGGAACAAATATATGTTGAAAATTACATTTAGATATTTTTTATGTTTTAATAATCTAGCTTTAGTTTCGAATGATCTTTACATATGTGCTAAAATATATGCTTTCTTTATATCTTCTCTGGTAATGAAGACAAATGGAGAATTAAGGCAGATACGTTACAAACAAACAAAGATGAACTGAAACAAGTAGTTACTACACTCCAATAGTATCATAATAAGATTAATGGAAGACAAGTTATCACTAGCTTAGGGCTAATTAACCCTCACTCTAGTATACGCGATTCTTTGATTGGTCGAACACCCTATAGCTTATGTTGATTGTTACTCATCCGAGGAAACTATAACGCTACATCTACCAATCAAAGAAGAACTTGGAGTAGAGCGTGGGCTAATTAGCCCTAAGTGAGGGAATAACCAGCCGCTCTCTAGGATCATGACCTACAATGATTAAAATATTATAATTACTAATTACTGTTTCAATAGATATGCATTACCATATCATTTATCTAGTCACCGGTATCATACTCAATTGATTGTCTGTAATTATTTGTTTATACTTTGATATAGATTCAAAGGAATGATTATTCTGCATCATTTGAACAAGAGCCAAGTGTGACTTTGTTCAAATAGACGTGTTTTACGTCATTGCAAAACACATCAAGATTTCATCAAGCTTCATGATCTACAGCAAATCTACAGCTTCATGAAGTTTGCTCACACATCATAAGAAAATTTTTGTCGTCCTCGTAAGAGAAATAAATTGTGTAAGCCAAACATTCTATAGACAATATGAGCAGACAAATAAACACCACCAAACAAGATTTTTCTCTTATATATAACACTAATTTTTTGTCTTCTAAATCAAGTATAACACCTTCCATAATTTAAAAATGGATTATATAGTAATATAAGAAAATAGAGAAAAAAAATTATTTCAATGGATGTTATTTAGAAATGTTTTAATAGGTTATCACACAATTATTATGGTAACGAGCACCAAGTGAATAATAAAATTTGATGCAAGAGATCACTCTTGTTACTCATGAGGGCTTGCCTTCATTGTAATTGATGAGTGAAAGATTAGATTATTTTCATAATGTAAATTCAATTTTGAGTAGATCAAACTTTAGATTTTTAACAATAAAAGGATCTTGACAGTTTTTCCTATATGTGCAAAAATGAGTATAATCTTATACATACGGATTTTTATTTTATTCAAACTAATTAGGTAAAGTGCATTTCATGGCAAAACATTTCATTTTCTTATTATAGAAAATATGCACATTATTCGATTAACCATTTGAAAAACATGCCTACGATATTTTTACACTATCGTAAAGTGTGTTGTTTCTACATGTAAAATGCTAAAATTATCTAAAAACTCCAAATGTGATCAACTATTAACTTTCAAATTTACATTTTATTTTGTGATGAGATTAAAGAAGTAACATCATTTGTTTTTGTAATTTGCCATTTAGCTATGAACGATGTGATTTATGAACGGTTGACCAATGCTATTATTCAAACATATTGACCAGTGCTAACAAATGAATGTAAAAATTGATGATAAGATCCTATGATACTAAGCAAGTAATTCACAAACGGTATACCAGTAATTAGACTCCAATAGTATAACAAGAAGATATATGTTCTTCAACATCCGATAAAAGTATAACTTCTTATGTTAGTGTCTGAGTTAAGATATTAACTTTGTGAAGTGCAAACACTGTAGTGCAAGGGAAATAGAGAGGGTTATTATATCATTCTTGTGATAATTAAAGGCTATTTTTGCAATCTTGTTTCAATTAAAAAATATTTTTTCATATTCAATAGCTGAATATTAGTATTTGAAAATACTTTCAATTTCTAAATGATTTAAATGTTCAAAGAAAAGTCAAGTTAAGAGTTTCAAGACTTCCTTTTGTCAATCAATTTGTAGGAAAACAACCGTACTTCAGAAGTATAAAAACATCTAGTTCAAAGCTTGAACACTTGTGAATTCTTTCAGAAAAACTGATCCCTTGATAGATGTATACCAATGTTACACCAATCAAAAATATACATTCATAAGAAATATATTCACCAATCTTTGGAATAAAGATAAGTTCAAATTTCATTTCCATATGGTACAATTGAGTTTATTGCATTTTTTTTTGCCAAGATAAGAACAAACTTAATCAAAATTAAAAAAGTCTGAGGTTATCTTGGTTTCTGTGGTTCTTACCAAGTCATCCTTTGACATAGGAAGAGAAAACGCTCTCTAGAAGTTGACAATACTTGGCTTTTTGACGAACTTCCATTCAATGCCTTCGTCTCTCACACCTGCTCATTTACAAACCTGCCCATTTACAAACGTATCATCCTTACACTTATCAAATGAACGAGATGGAATGGGAGTGCATTTGCCACAATTGCAGTATTAGATTTGGGAAATTATTGAATCTTTTGAATAAGCCTGCCTCCTGCCTCCTGTAGAAGTATTTTTGGGAGTCTGTTGCTAATTTCACGGAACAGGTCTTTGGTTCTTGGTGGAGTGTATGCAACATTCAGAAGATCGGCATTTGACATCGTTGTCTATGTGAACATCAACTAGCACTGGAATTTTAGTAAAATAGTGACCTGCCCAATCAGTGCAGCACTGTCATATCATTTCGAGAGTTTGTCAGGATTGGTTCTTTGCAGTGCAATGGCTGTTCGATTTGCCACTTGAGATTTACCTCTTTTCGCATAGTTTCTTACAAGTAAAACCCACGTCGCACTCCTTCCACCAAGCTGTCTCCATAGAATTCAGGGGATTCTAAAAGTTTGGACTTCGATCGAATTATGTTGACTTGTATAGTGCCAGCCATTCAATCTCGCCACCCAACATAGAGAATTTCACATATTTAGAATCATCGGAAACAAGACAGCCGAGACTAAGAAGTGCTGAGGATCTAATAATCTGAGGATCTAATAATACACATGTGTAAGGTCAAGGTCATTTCCAAACTCGATGGTTGTGTTCGAAGAGCAAGCATTGATGGCAGATCTCAGTATTCACAGGAGAAAGTCAGGATGTTCAGTAAAGCATCTCTCCAAAGAAAAAAGCCCAACGGCCTATGTGGCACGGACTAATCCCCACTTGAGATCGAGCCCCGATTTCTAAAACCTCTCATAAGGATTTTTAAAAATTTGGATCTATCTGGTCACCCTTGGTGTTCGGGATGCTTGGAAGAGGGAATGACAACTACAGCTCCATAGGTTATCTCCTAATTGAGTTTCAGCTCTTGGAATAACCTTTCGACCTTCGCAAATGTTTATCTGCTGGTCCGGTTCACCCATCCATATATATTCAAGTTTGTACTTTCAGATAAACAAAGCAACTGCGTGTGACTAAAACTGACAGCAGAGTTAAGAGTCTCTCTGAGCAAGTTCTTCATGTATCACAAGCATACATGTAGGCTCTGTCTTTCCGTTGAGGAAGAGAATATGTATCGACTTTTATGTCCGGATGGCATTGTAGAGACAGTGCTCCAGGTCCTCACGATGTCACGTACACCCGCTCTGAAATTCTAAAGGGCGTGTCACTCCAATTTAAGTATAGTGCAGGGCGGACATGGCCATGGTTTGAGTGAGTTCCTTTTTCCTTTTTCCGGGTCTCTGGCAGTATAACAACAATTGTGTGTTTTTATTAGTGAATAAAATTCCTCTTGTGCTAAGCTTTTTGTGAAATACTCGTTAGCGAAAATTTCGATACAATTTTGCCTTAACAATGACTGGAACATCATTTTGACACTGTTTTAGACGCTGTTTTAGAACATCCTTGCATTCTGTTATGTGATTCTTCTGTTCGGTCGAAGTGGTTTTTTTTAATTGATCAGGTCTCAAATTGGGCATCACATCGGTATTTCCATGCTTGTGCCGAATCTGCAACATTTGCTGTGGCAGGCTACCCAGCACCGTCGAAGAAACTATTGTGATTGTGAAGCAATCTACGGTGGCTACTCCACATTGATGATTGTAGGCAAAGAGTAATATCCATCTTCGTTCTTTCGTTTTCCACCGATCGAGTGTCTGTTTGTTCTGTAGAGCCATGACTGACTTACCTTGCCATGTATCTGACTGTATGCCCTAGGCATTGTAGAAGATCTTCCATCTAATATCGCGACTACGACAGACGCTACGAGCATTGGGTCACCTATAGACAAAATTCAACATACAATGAATTTCAGGTGAAGAAACTTGTTCGACTGATGGAGAAAATTCTTATGAACTACATCAACCACGCATCCGACTCGTGGTTGATGTAGGCGGCACCATGAAACGAATTGGGTGCATTACGAAAGGATGTTAGCATATCTCATTCAAATAGATGTTAACTAGATGTTCCCATGCCATACAGATCAAGAGATTGTTTGCTTGTTTCGGGTTTGTTTGCTTGTTCCGGGTTTGTTGATCGGATAGGAAGAAGCAACAGATCCCCTAGAATAAAATGAACAATTGCGCGTCTTGCTTGCGTCCACTCTTGCACAGATGATTGCTTTCTGGCCTTCAATTTATGAAGATTGTCACAGGGTTTCTTTCATCATCGAGATCAAGCTGATCTCGATGATGAATCTTGCATAATCTGTAAATCGTTACCACTGTTATGCTGTCTCTCCCTCCTTCCACCTCATCACAGACAAGTAAGAAGACAATGATGAATCACGAACACGACAAAGTTTGCCGCAAGTCATCTTTGAGGTGTGGAGTGTGCGGATCCAAATCAGAGTAACAATCGTTTGTTGAGAGTACAGAGACATTTCAAGCAAAGGAACGGGAAGTAGACGGGTTCGCATGTACAGTATATTGTTCTTGGGTATGTTTTTACACTCTCAAAGATTCATCCTTTGGATTTCAATATGATGGAATCAAATGGTTTAAATTTATCACTAACCATGAACTAAATGAAGTACGTCAAGAAGTATCTATATTTTTTCCAAAAATCCGAAAGCAAGCATTTCTGATATTTCAAATCATTTTTAAAACTTTAAAATAGCCATGCATGGTCACATATGTTTTTATCCTCATGTTTGTACATTATCATATGAGATGGTTATGGTTGTGAAACAATGGCTAACTAAACCGTTCAAAAATATCTTCTGTTCTTTGCCTCATTATTAAAGATACAGATCCCACATAGCCCTTGCATGTGTGATTTTTTTTTATGTGGACAAATATATATAGTCAGTATCTAATTTGCACACTTTTTGAATAAAGTTGATGATATCTAATTTCCACCAATCAATGTTGCGATAAGATAGACACCAAATTTAGCATCTTTTAGAAAAAAATCTAGTTTTTGTCGTAGTTCAGAATGAGTCACATTCAATGAGACGAAATTTGCAAAGTGCACCCAATTTTCATCCATCCAACTGAAAACGAAAGCCGAGGCAAAGAATGTAAAAAGAGAGTCTTGTCCTAAAACGCAAAAACAGAAATAAAAAAATAACTTGAGTTGCCAAGTAAAGAATCATCTTTTCCAGCTGACAGGCAATTGACCACAACAATCGATTCATAGTAAATGTGGAAAACTTTATATGATCTTCCCTTTCTTTTTCGAGCATTCTCTAGCTCTATAAAACTGAAGTTAAAGCTTAATTTCTCAAGTCGTCTGGTGGGTCTAAATCAGGAGTCTCGAGTCAAGTCAAGCCAAGTCCAAAATTTCCTCCAAGGTCCAGCCACAGCGCAACTAAAGGCGGGCAGGTTTAGCTGACAGCCTTGAGATACGTGCAATAAGACAACCACCCAACGGTCAGATAACGGGAACATTATAAGCCCGGATCGTAGTTACAGATACGAGTTAAAAGAAGCCGCCATATATTCGACACAGGTCCATGAAATTGACCTCCTACGTCCGCAAACTGTGCTGACTGCATTCATCCAGAACACAGGCCTCGTGTCAAACTTCAGCAGATGTAGTTTGGAAAAGGGTTGGGGTTTAGGAGACGAACTGGGCAGATGATCCACATCTGGATCTCTTTAAGTTCGGACTGACAGATTTTGACGGAGATCAGATGGCTCTTCAGGTACCTTCGTCGTTAAATGCTCAAGCGTAAGGTCATTTTCTCAAGACTTGTAATCATTGTGAGGTAACATACTCCTACTCTGTATCAAGTCAAGAAATGTTCTTTGGGTTTGCCTTTTAACAACTGAGTAGAATTGGGACACGACCTGTCCTGTGTACAGATGAATCTATAGATAACTCACGACTCCACGGGATCTGAAAGACTTGCTCTGACCGTGCACTGAGCATCTTCTGAATATAGAACAACAAGATTTTATTAAAGTTCTCTTCGTAGCCAGAAAGAGTTAAAAATCTGACGGAGTGAAGTTCCAAATGAATTGGTGTAAGTGAAGCTTTTGGACCACTTCCAGTAGTTGGTGCCATGAATATACCTCCACCATGTAATCGATTCCCTCGTCGCACTTTTTGAAACAGTTCCTACTACACATCCAAATTTTCGTTCGGATCACTATCACTTATCCAGCAAAAAAAAGTAAGAATCAGATGGAAAGTACCCATGGGTGAAACCAAACGGGTAAGACCGGCCTAGGCTCCATATTGGTAATCCATTATCTAAGCCACACTGATGCTCTGTTGCTCTCACTTCTCTCTGATGGATGTAATGTGGCCTCGACGCAGGAGCGAGCTGTTTATATACTCTAATTGACATATTCACCATACTCTAAACTGGCCGTTGCAGCAAACGTGCACTTGTGATTCTTCTCTTGATATCTGTTCTCTGACAAAAGAGAAGAAGAAGAAGCGGATTATTATAGCACGATAAAGAAAACTGTACAATTTTCGCGCATATGCAGAGAAAGTATAAACCACTTGCAGTTGCAGGCGGAGCGTTACCCTTACATACATATATTAAATCCCGCTTAGTCAGAGCGAGATCTGAGTGTACCGAAGCCGTGCTATGCTATGCTGTGCTGGCTGGCTGATGAGTAAGGTACACCCATCATCGCATACCATCTCCACTCCACTATCAGTGGCTGTGCTGGAGGTGGAAGGCAGACATATGCCAAGTCACTCGCCCAGCTTTCGCAGCTGCCAAAGTTCTGCTGTCTGTGTGCACAGTATGTGCCCAGAGCCCACTTTCTCTCTTTCTTCCTTGCTTCACCGACACAAATTCCCAACGGTAGCTTCCATGAGTTCTGATACGACTCCGCGTCAAGAGTCCTCTGGCCGTGTGTTCATGGCTAGGAAGATCTGATGTGATCAACGTGCTCGTAGCTTTGAGCTTATCGTGAAGTTGAAGAAGGAATGTAGAGGTGGACGAGTCAGAGCGAGTCGAAGGACACGAGGGCCCGCACAAGCAGAGGACCGAGGGCGAAGATGACGTGGCTTGACGCTTCTCTGAGGATGATCTACAGCGTGGGCCGAAATTGAGTGCCATGTCAAATCATATTCTATTCTTTAACAAGATAATCACGCCTATCATGTGGACCATATGATGTGGTAATTTAGGTACAATACTCACAATAAAAATGACTGATAGCAATTATCTTTGATTTGTGTTACAGAATGTATGTTTATTATTATTGAGATCACGTCGATGTTTCCTCCCACGTTCATGTTCTTTGCAAACCAATTGACCTAGACAGCTATGATATTTACATGTATTAACCATGTGATGCCATTGGAGATAGACTGATGTTAGGGTTTCTTTTTTTAATGTTCACGAGTAGATGGGGCATTCACTTCTCTTTTGCCATATGACTTCATGCTCCATAGAGCCAATAGAAAGTATTTACATCAATGTAGGACTTGGTGGGGGTCTTCCCGTCCGTTCTGCTGTGCGCTCGTTACAACTTTCATCGTCCATTAAGATACGGAATAGTAAATGGCGGAAAGCGTTCTGCAGTACTTCAAAGTGCCGTCGAAGAGATTTTCCTGTCGATACAATCGTTCACCCTACTGCCCGTGCGCCTAGGCTTGTTTTAATTCATCTCTGTCAACCCAGACAGAGATGACAGGGTTGACGGGGTCTTCCATCCTTTATGCGAATTACTTGGGCTCATGTATTGATATACGTACATGGATGAAGATACGCAAGTATGGAGTGGATCAGGTGGTTCCAACAGACTGTAGCAAAGCTCCAGTGCTTAAATTTTGATGAAAGTGCGAGTCTCGCATATAAATGGTCTTGCAATATGGATAGGCTTTTAGCGAAATGACTAGCTCTGGAGTTTTCGACTTTGTAGGAGTATGACGTTCAAAGTATGTGTATTCACTTTCGCCTCTAGGCATACTTTTCTGGTCGCAACACCTTTCACCGCGAAGTAAATCCACGGCCGAACCTACATCAAGCATTTCAAAAACCATTTGGCAAATTACTTTCCGCAGGGGTCCCATCAAGCAAATCTCTCAGCAAAATAGTTCGGACTCCACAAGTGGAAAGTTTTATTTGATAACAAATAGAGTGCAGAGATCATATATGGAAGAGCGAGCGCATTTTATCCATCCCGTCAAGCAATGATAACACGCAGATATGAAGTGGATAGTAAGAAAACAATTTAAGATATCTACACTTTGATCATTGCGGGCACAGGCCTTCCCACATATCCAACAACTGGAGAGTTTGAACTGTGAAATCTGAGTTCAGTGAGGGTCAAATTTGTGATTTGTGATTCTATTCCCTTCCTAATAAAGTAAGGTTTCATTTAGGTGGAAGCGTGTAAAGTCACGGAAACCGTCCGTTCGTGTTTGTGGTCTCCTCGCAGGCCATAATCGAAGTTCAGAGAGCTGCTTTTCAATTATCTCACCATTAATCCATTAATCCATCTATCACTTCAGTACAAAGTGCACTTGCACTTACCAAGCGTTAGGCAGCACTAGTGTGGTACAAAAGAATTCGACGAGTCGATTCTTAAAGTTACGAAATCGGAGATGAAATTGAGACTGGAGTTTAGTCGCCGTCTCCGTATCCCAGGTGTTAAAAGATCTCGAATGAATACTCAACAAGAAACTCGTCCTCCAACTTCTAGAAGTACATGCATCGAAGAAAAGAGCTCGTGGACTCGAGTTTGTCTGGAGACAACGCAACCGTGTGTCCTGAACTTTCCGGAGGAGGGAGGAAGTTTACGAAGGGCCACCGCTATGTTCCAAGGACTTTCGGAAAGGTCCAAAAGAAGCAAGTAAGAATCCGGCAGATATGAACAGATCGGCTCCAAGAACAGGTCCAGCTGTCCCAATGCTGTCCCAATGCGGGCTAGCCAGCCCGCCAATCGACTCGCCCAGTGTCAACTGAATTAACTACCTGTGCGAATCGGAGCCGTGAAGGAGCTGATTTCCTCTATGGGAACCGAGAACTGGGTCTCTGAGCAAGTTCTGAGCAAGTTCTGAACTCCAACTGGGTGGGGTGAGGTGGAGGGTTTCAGAAAATCCGTGCTGCTGCTGCTGCTCAGAGGATGCGTGCGAACGCGTTTGTCGTCTGGCATGCAGAGCTCTGTAGGACTGGAGCTCTCACGAGCATCGGAGTCAGTCCTCAGCGAAGGACGTCGAGGCTCTAGAATCTGGTGAGCGCATACAAAGCCCTCATCCTCTCAGACGAATCGGAGAAGAATCAATCAGCCCCTTCATCGAGAGACAGGGGGTCGTGCGCACTTGCTATCAGCTGCAGGGAAGTCGAGGGGGCAGTTGGAGCTGCTGGAAACAGAAAAAGGGGTCCTCTCGAGGGAAGGCTGGGCTCGGCTCCTCGTTGAGGAAGACTTGTTTGGATAGCTGGACGTCTGCCTGCTGCAACAGGGGAAGAACTCAACAGCAGCCATGGCGATTAGCTCGCCCATGCGGACAATTTCAGCCGTTTTCATCCTCTCCATGCTCGTGCTCGGTAAGTTTGCAAAACCTCTACACAGTGATTTCATGAAAGAATCTGGCTCTTCTGCCAGGAAATTCGGACGCGATGCCCGTGCCCGAACTTCTCGCATGCAAAAACCACTGTAGGGCACATTCGTGTTTAGCATGCAGGGAACGCTGTAGACTGATCGGTGTAGGCAGCTGTAGATTACTCGGTGCAAAATCGGATTTCGTCGATCCACAATCATCCTCTCCTATCGATTCAGAATGCATAGTGGTAAAATTCCTCGTCAGAAGAGTTCGTTTTCGGGTTCCCTTTCTTGCCACGAATTTTCCCGCATCTGACGAAGTTTGTTCCGTGCAGACGCGAGCGCGATCGGAGTGAATTACGGACAGATAGCGGACGACCTGCCAACGCCGGCGGCGGTCAGGCAGCTGGTGGAAACGACGACGATCACGAAGCTGAAGCTGTTCGACACGAATCCGGCCGTTCTCACAGCCTTCGCGGGGTCGCCGATCGAGTTCGTCGTGGCGGCCGGGAACGATCAGATCGTGCCGCTGGCGAATTCGTCCGCGGTCGCACTGCAGTGGGTGCAGGCCAACGTCGCGGCGTATCCCACCACGAACATCACCGTGATCTCGCTGGGGAACGAAGTGCTGGCCTACGCCGGCGACGCGGCGACGTTCCTGCTGCCAGCGTTGCAAAACCTGCACGCGGCGCTGGTGACGCTGAAGCTCGATCACCGCGTGAAGGTGACCACGCCGCACGCCATGAGCATCCTGTCGGCGTCCGAGCCGCCGTCGGCGGGAGTGTTCGGCACTTGGGAGGGCAGCATCATCGTCCCCATGCTTGAGTTCATGGCGCGAACCGCGTCGCCGCTCACTGTCAATGCGTACCCGTACTATGCCTACATCAACTCGCCTAACGTATCGCTCAACTACTGCCTGTTCCAGCCCACTGCCGACGAGGTCAAGTTCGACAATGCCACTCTGCTCAACTACACGAGCATGTTCGACGCGCAGGTCGACGCCCTGTACCACGCCCTGGCCAAGGAAGGCTTCAACAACGTGAGCGTGGCCGTGGGCGAGACCGGGTGGCCCTCCAAAGGGGACCCGTTCGTCAAGGGCCCCAGCATGGTCGACGCACGCCTCTTCAACGCCAATCTCATCAAGCACTTGGCATCCGGCGTCGGCACTCCCGTCAAACCCGGCGTCGTCCCTGATACTTACATCTTCGCCCTCTTCAACGAGAACCAGAAGCCCGGCCCTTCGTACGAGAGGAACTTCGGCCTCTTCTACCCCAATGGCTCGATGGTCTACGATTCCGGCGTCATGCCCACCCCGACTCCCGTGTGAGTGAGTGCACGGATCGATGGACTGAGTTTGCGCTTACAGGGGGGAGAGCATTTTTGGGGCCCCTGCCCGCCAGCCCGGGTTTCATCTCCAGAACATGCTGTCAGTGTCCGGCCGGGGACGAATTCTTCTCATTCGGATTTTTGTTAGCTGGACTTCGGCCTCTGCATCTCGTCGTTGAGAAGCAGATCTCGAGTTCTCTCCGTTCGGGGCGTTCCCCTTGCGACTCGCAAGGCGGGAGCACTGTGTCGAACGGGCGAGCTAGATAAATGGATGCGCCACCATGTGCGCAGTGAAGCTTGTTCGTTCCGCTATTAACTGCTATCCGGGGCCGTGCTGGGCTGCGGCTGTGGGTGGCATTTTGGATTTATTAGGTGCTGGTATGACGTCGATCGAAACCGGAATAGCACCTCATTGCACCAGAAATGTAGAAGGGCGACGGCTTTGGGAGCAGATTTCGTGGCTAGTTTGGCGTCTGAATATTTATTGCTTTTGACTCATGCCAGAAGTCATTAGCCGTGGCAAGACACGATGAGAAATGTTTTAGGAACGCAATTTTGATCTGTACTATCTACAACATTTATTGAAATTTTTTCAGTCAGAATCGATTCACTGACTTTGAGGATGGTAGTCGGTTGAACTTCAACTCGACATTCTTCAGCATCTGTTGATTCTGCGTGCGAGTACTAGGTCCGTCCTTGAGATCTTAGACTCATCGATTCAAACTTCTCGTTCTGTGTAGGTCATCTTTGATTGGGTTCGGTGCCTGATGTTCATATCTATCTGCACTTTGATTCCAAATCACATAAACTGAGTGGATTGTTCGATTACATGATGTTTGCTCCTGCCAAACTATTGTTTGCCTAGAATGCGAGAGCGCCCTAGAACTGCTCTAGGCACGCACACCGAGAATATAGTACACTAATTGTATGTACGATAGAGACTGTATATACGGATACTACATAGACATATTTGAACAATATGGAGCTTTCGATGATCGACCTCTTCTGGGTCAAATCACATGTAATTCATGGTCAATAATCTACATGGGATGCATGGAGAAAAATCTGCATGATTAAAGCACGGAAAATCATTAGCGGCTGTTCAAAACAAACACAACAGGAAAATAAAGAAAGCCAAACTTTCTTCTATAGAAGTAGCATCACTTGTACCTTCACCAAGGATAGCACTTGTTATTAAGTGTCTTGCATTAAGGGTGAGAAAATGAATTGGAAACAATACTTAGTTTATAGCTAGCAATATAAACAGAGATTGTTTGATCAGTGAAAGACACATTTCAAATTATATACGTTAGAATGCTCTACGATAAATGCGCATGTATGTGTGCATTTTTCAAAATTACGCCTTACATTTAATGTACACTGGTTTTAAACTGCTCCTACTACCAACCCTGTGCTTCTACTATTTTGGTTCTGTGTAAAAATTAACTTTTATATGACAACATTAAAATTATATCAAATTGTGCACCTCTAGCTTCCCACGTAGGATAGATTGCCGAAAGAACACACAAAAGAGTTACAAATGTATAATGGTAATGAAGTGGATAGTTTAAACAACAGTGATATCTCATAAAGTCAGAATGAATAATTTAGATCGGACTGTATCATGACAAAAATAGCAAATCTTTAAAAATTATACTATCAAATGGTAAATAAACAATACCTCCTTCTTTACTATTTATCATTATTTTAATTTGGCAGAGCAATGAAGAGAAGATATCTTCTATAAAATAGATAATATTTGATTACTTTAAGCCATCTGAAATGATTTTTTCAAATTCTCTTTCTCATTCACAACTCATCGTCAATTCCACACTAAAGTAGTATATTGTATTGAAGATTTTTTATGAATTAATCCGTTACATGGATAATCTGTTTGATTAATCCTGATAAAATTAGTTTTCACAATAAAATTTATACATTTTTAATTGTATCAATTTAAATATAAACAAGTGCAGAAGATATTTCATACTATTAATAAAAATTCATATAATACATAAATGAACCTTGTATTTAATAAAACCCTATCACAATGTAATGCTGTCGACGAAACTGATAACATAGCCTGATTCATTCATTAAGCAATAAAATGATAGATGAATGACATTGAGTAAAATTACTTTGACAATCAGGTTGTATTTTGTATCTATTTTCAGAAGTTAATAAGTTTTAACTTTAACATGTAGATGACAAATCTTGCTTCTCAAATAAAAACATGTCATTATTCTTGATGATGACGACACTGCTGATTAGGATTTGATAAGTGTTATGAACGTTTGAGGTTATGTGGTCAGTATACTTGTTCTACGTGATGCATATAATAGTGTTTCTTTTCAAAACCAAAATTTGGTACAGTAATACTTACAGACTTTAACATATCAAACATTATAAACCAATTGCTGTGACACACACATTACGTAATGTACAGTCAGCTCTACCTTAGATAGCGAAACTACGTATAACCAGTTGAATTGAATGCTTTGCTAAACTTACCAGATCATAATTCGCATCTTCCAGTGTTGTGATTATGCCTGAGGTGGAGATCTATATACCCCGAAAATGATTCCCTTCATACGAACTCCTGAATTACAATTGACAGTGCGATTGGAAGACATGACTCTATCGTACAAAGAGTATTGGAGGCGCACTGCAGAAACAAGTAACTCACTTTCCTCACATCGTTATGCCTTGTAGGCTTCATTTGCGTTGAAGCGCGTTCGGGACTGATTTAAAGGCTTTCTTCCGCAACTCCCATAACTCCCCCATAATCCCGCAACTTCCCCAACTCCCAGCCACTTCGTGGAAATATAAGAATGAGTAAACACAGCTTGTGACTGTGAGGGCAAAGATATCTGAAACTGCAACTAAAAGCTTAAGATACAGTTCTAACTCCGTGGTGTTCTTTATTCGAGTTTCTGCGAATAATACAAACCCCCCAAAAAGATCGCGCTTCTACGACCCCAGAAGGCTCTGGCTCGCCACGCTAGAGCTAGTCCGATGCGATGGAGTTACAACGGTTCAACTTGGAAGAAAAGAACTGCCTACTTCTGGATGGAAGCATATAAGAAGCTACAGAATATAGTTCCTTCAAATACCACACATGCACTCAACCATACTACCCGAAGCAGCGAGCCAACGGACTAACATGTAGGGACAAATTTAGCTGCCTACTCACTCGCTCACTGGCGGTGGCTGGAAGGAGGAGACCTCAGCTCTTGCCTCCCACATGTTGATATCCACGTACCATCACGTGCAAGGACACATGAGCATCCAGCAAGCTTCAACTCTCAGATTGATAATTCTTTGCAAACAGGTAGCTTCTATTAAGAACTTACTCCGCACAAAAACACTCTATAGTTTAGACACTAGCACGAGGTAGCCATCTCTGTAGAATTTCTAGTCCTCACCGTTACGCATCTATCGGTCGGTCGAGACTGCGAGTGTGAAGGTCTGAAGCCCCAGCTGCAAGTCCCTATCTCTACTTGATATCCAGCATTCATAAGTGACTACTAAAAACTTGATGCCGAAACATACTCTGCCCTCACAGAATTTGGATTGATTACTGAGCTGAAACGAATTCCTAGAGGTAACCAAAGAACGGGCGGAAACCCGCTAAACTCCTCATCAGAAGGAATCCCAATGCATCGGGCCTCTCCTGTGCATTCTAAAGAACCAATGGCCTCGGTGCACATCGCCTTAGAGAGACCGGTACACATGGCACTATGTACATACATCCCCAGAAGTTTTAACTGGATTACTAAAATCACTTCTTTCTTAAGGGTAATTGAACAATATCTTTGAAATACTCAGGGGGGACGACACCTTGAAAACCTTCTGTGAGTACAACCCCATTCTCGGAGACATATAGCTTCATGCCATCTGTACATTGAGCTCAAGGACCATGACCAGGAAAAGAAGTCAGAAACCTTTCGTCAAAGATAACTTCACAAGGGCCCTGACACGAAATATGTATTTATCATATATTCATATATTCACATATATGGTCTTCGCATTGAACTTGAGATGATGTAAAATAGGATGGACATAAGCCTTACCCTTAAGAGCCTTGCTCACATCCAGGTAAATAAGAACTTCGGAAGTACTTCTCATGCCTGCAATATAAAAGGAAAACAAAACGGACTGATTTGAACGTGGCTCAATATTTATCGTCCACTCACAGACTTATGGCATGCATATTGCCAAAAAAAACCTCTTCGTGTAAGAAAACAGAGAGAGTATGTCTACATTGACTATTACAATAAATCTGTGGTAGCAAAGAAAGCGAAACGAGACACTCCTGTCGAGATTTTTTGTCAAACTGTTCCAGATTCGCAATACAATAGTAAACAACACATACTTTGACTTCCAAGACTTTCTACTGGTCAAGCCAGGCCGAGTTCAGAACTTTCAAGACAAAGATTTGCTCTACTTTCAATACAAAAAAACGTACCGCTGACTACACCGTCATCCGGTGAAAGCCCCATTGCAAAGTGGACATGATTACGGTTCATTCGTTTCAAGCCCTCCTTGCGTATTGACGGCAAATGTCTCCTATATGTGCCATGTACGCAAGCTGCAAGATCATTCCATAACTTGTATTAACGTGACAGTAAGGAAGGAACATGGCTCTCAAAACCTCAAAGCATCATAGTCTGCGGTAGCTAGCTAATTTGTTTCATTCGCAATTGTTCGACACTCACAAATATTTCCACCCACTGTGAACAAGGAGAGCACACAAACAAATGAAAACAACACCCTAAGTCTGAGCAAAAAGGATATCGATGGATTACCAGGAACTTCCTCTGCTGTAAGCATGGGCTTCAAGAGTTGCTCTGTCTCAACCCTCTGCAAGAATATAGCATCTCAACCACCTTGAATGAAATATACATAGGAGAACACGTAGCTGATACTTTTAGCGTTCCCTACTGATAAGTCGAAGCTTGAAGAGACTCTTAAGGCGTCTTAAGAGAGCAAAGAACGTTACAGGGGAAGAGAAGCTGCAAGGTGGACTGGAAAGAAGCCGAAGAATTTACAGTTCCATTCATGCACTAGATCCTGGTAGAGGGCAAGAACACACAGAACATGACGCAACAACAAACCTTAATTGAATGCCCTTGATTTGCTCTGATCAACAAAACGCCGGCTTCCTCCTTGATTCCAAATCGTTGCTTAGAATCCAGCTTGACTGCCTGATATTTACCCACTTCATGTGAGGTTGTGCACAAACTAATGATGATGTGAGTTGGTGGTCCAGAAGATACACACGACAACTGCCAGCTAGTCCCAAAGGGGATGAGATAGAAAGCAATCACTTGACAAAAAGAGGCGGATGAGACTACCACAGACACTACTATCTCTTCTGATATCAGTTCTTGCGGTACCGCCTTGGAATGCGATACTGTTTACTTCATGAAGAGCTAAACAACAACAGACTCGTCTTTAAAACTGATAGTATGGGGAAAATCGAGGATAGAATATAACGACAAGGTTTTCAAACATAGGAGATTCTTAAGCAAGATACTTGTTCTGCAGGTTCACAAAGTGCTCTCCCATGTGGGAAGGTAATTTCACCTCACCTCTCGAACATCATCCACGGTGTGGGAACTCATTGGTTGACCTGATGCTGTTCTCATGCTTAAACTGAGCAGCTGCTTTACATCGACGTAACCATCGTTCCTCATATCGAGTTTCAGTTCCACAGCTTGGTGTCTCAGTATTTTTGCCCTGGGTTCGCACACACCGAGACCTTCAGAGAAAGACTTTCAGATCAAGCTTCAGCATAAAATCATTGCAAGAGAACTTCTACTCAACAGAAAAAAAAAAAAACTTTCAGTTGGATCATTAGGTGTTCGTTTCCGGTTTGAGAAGGCGGGCAAAAGGTTTCCAGCACAGATGGAAACCTTTTGATTTTTGTGTACCTATCGAAGATGGAAGATCTTCGATAGGTACACAAAAATCACAGTAGATAACAGAGCGAAGAAGATGAGTTTCCCAGAATGAAGAAACTGACATAGTACGGCCGAGAGAATTGATGAGATCCTTCCCTACACCACCACTTTCACGCCAATTTCCTCCTCCACGTCCGCTGCCTAGCTTGAAATTGCTCTGCACAGCTCTTTCTGGCTCGGTCCGTTCGGAGCCCCAGGCACGTACCTCTGATCTCCCTGAATATTCGGCTGCCTCGATCACTCTTTCACTCTTGGATGGCTCTACAACTTGGTTTCGAGGCTTTGTCCGTTTTCCACCACCCCCCACCACTGTGCTTCCTAATGCCGGGAAGTCATCGAAACTGGAGGTGATCTGCTCATTGCTCTTGTCTACTGATGCTACCCAGGGCTGTCTCTGGGCCGGAGGGTGAAAGACTTCAGGTGGCTGAGCAGCGGTCATTCTTTCGTCCACGATTTGGTTGGTAGAACTATCATACACAGATCCCTCTTTCCGCCAGGAGGGCCCAGCCTGCTGATCAACTTGGTCCATCGTTCGGATGGGAGGATAAGGTTTTTCAAGTCCTGCTTTCTGAGAGGACTGGCCCATTCGCTGATCACTTTTGTCCACCTGCTCTGCCATGTCCTTCATGAGCTCCATAGTCTGACCATTAAGATCTTGGAATGCAACCTTGTTTTCAGGTGAAACGAATGCTTGTGTACCCGGAATATCGCTGTCAGCTTGAGAACAGTGGTCAACCGTTCCGAACTGGAATTCAAATCCTCCATTATTTACAGGAAGACGACTTCTGCTTGCACCACCACCTCCAAAAGATCCCCTTTTCTGTGCTGGGCCTGTTGCAGGACTCGTACCCTGTACCCCCATCCCGACATTGCTATTGCTCTTTGTTCCAGAAGAAGGAACACCAGCAACAGCCGGCATACCTCTTCCAGCGTTCAATTTCCCCGACTTCCAAGCATTCTCCATGTTTACGAAGTTGAGAAACTCGGGTATGAAGTATTTACTCAAAGAAACTCTTCTCCAATTCCCACCATAAAACCCTTTTAGCATGAGCTCCTAGCAGCTCAGCCAAATCTCGTGGAGGCGGAGCACGCATGCAATAGACTCACAGACACCAATCCTTCTTCATAGCATTTCTCGTCAACCAGCAATAAAATTATGGAGCACATAGCCCTTTCTCAAGATCGTCTTTCCTGTCCTCACTGACCTAACATACCCAATGGATGCTCAGACTTTGCTCACATGGGCGGCTAAATTCCTCAAGTCTTGAGCTGCAAGTCTTCACGGTGAAGATCATCGAAAGTTCTCAGATGATTTCACCAATTTCGCACAAATCCACCTTGGGCTCAACACCTGCAGCCGTAATAATTGTCGACTGTGACCTCCAGAATCTGCCCTAAGTCGGCCCAATCAGAAATCCATTAGTAGCCAAATTCGGCCAAATAACTCATGCGGAGAATACATTTTACCCCTCTATCAATGCACCATTAGAATCACCTTAACACAGTCACCAAAACAGTTACAACTCACAGTATACCTGGCCCCATCTACCTGCACACATACTGTACAATTATATATGTACCCAGATATGCATACAACCCGGATTGCATCAGCTCATGAAACGCACCTCGAAATCGGTTCCGAACAGGCCTGCTGCAGAAAATAGCGTGTGGAGTCCACAATCGATCAGACGAGAGATGAAAGAATTTTGATTGACACCACCGGTCCAATCAAAGGAATTTCATGAAGCTAGAAAGCAGGCGGCGGTACAGCTTGACAGGAGTCATAATGTTCACTTGTGGCACCTAGTCCACACCACTCCAGTCACTCCGATAAGTTCAAGTCTAGACTACTCCGGGTATGTAGGGGTCACGATGACGGATGATGACGGTCATCGTGATCACGTTGGAGCTTCAATTGTTCCGTAATGATGATGCCCCTCTACTGACCAGACAATCGCCCCTTGAATCGAAGCTGAGTTTCAATCCTTTTCATTCGTGCTCGTGGAATAACTAATAACCAGAGAATAACTGCACCCTTCTTGTGTGTCCCAGAGATGAAGAAGCCAGAGGTGAGAACAACCTCTTTTGCTTGTTCATTTAAAGTGGATGCAAAATCTGCAGCTTTTGCCTTCTAATTCGTGATCGTCCTTTCTCATGACAAAGCTCTGAGAGAATGAGTAAGTACTACACGGGATCGGTATGGCCAAGATTCCCAACTCATGATCGTCTCCAATGTGGATGTAGTTGGAGAGGTTTTCAAGGTAGAAACGAGGCGATCCGATGGCTAAAATTATCATATCATTAACTACGCTCTTATTGGCTTGATATGGCATTGTCCTTGCTTAAATATGGCGATTCACTAGCATACACCATATACGAGGCACATGAATAAAGCATTGAGTATGTTCTCGCATACGGACGAACAATCTGGAAATTAACTTGTAATTTCAATATTCTTATTGACGTGGATGCAATTCAGACAGTTCTGTTGATTATCTCCTCAGCTCGTTTGACCTACCCCCAAGCTTTGCACGTTGTTCTTCCCAAACTATTGCAGAATGAAATAGAAAAATTCATTAGGTTCAACTTGTACCAAAAAAGAGATCCATATAATTGCCTCTATTTCTTTAATACATTGGCCAGATATGAAGAAAAATGAAGTTCCGATACGTACTCTAATCTAACCAAAAAAAATTTGCCTATCAAAATTCAACCACAGGAACAAAGGGAAGAAAAATTAATTCTTGTAAGGCATGCTTGCTGAAGATGTAATCATCGGCTTATATAAATGATCAGAGCAAGTTTGTGTTAACGTTCCAGCAACAGGCTCGTAATGAAAAGACAAAGTCTTCCTGACTTTCTTGTGGGTCTAACAAAGCCCTCCTACTTTGTTTTGTTGGACACCACGAAACAAAATAGTGTCCGATTTCCCACTTGTTGTCCACAAGCATGAGATAATACGGGAAGGTGCTCATCAAACACTACAAAGTGGGGTGTATAAATCTACACAATTGCTCTTTGAAAGCAATATTTTCCAGTGGCAAATATACCTTCATTGAAGCATGATGTAACCCTCTACAAAGTCTATTTTTATCATAACCACTATCCTAGTGGCATCAATGTGAACATCGTATGATGTTCACATTTATGTCAAATGAGGGTGACTTTGAATGGTAGTTAGTTTACATTTTGGTATCGAGGTTCATGTAAATTCCGTACAGGTCAAGGTATGATTTCACAAAAAAAGTTGGTGTTGTCCTAATCATGAGACCATTTACCCTTAGTTTGTAGGACCATTATGGGTTCTTCTGCTTTCACAATCCGTATCATTGCGTGAAGCGTAGTATGTACGTACCAAGTTTTTGAGGGGAAAAATATTCCCTACTAGCGAAGAGGTATCATGGAAAATCTTTACTTTATATCTTAATTTATAGGGGTCATTTCGGAGAGGTGATTGGCTTTAAGAACAAGCAGAACCTTCTAACAAGCCGATCAACAATGTGAAACATTCAGTATGGTTACTTGTCTGGGTAAGTTATTGTATTTATGTCCTTACATATTAGTAATATTGAATCTATCTTCTTATCATAAGTATATAAATGAAATCTTATTTCAGTTTTAATAGGGGTCAAATGTTTCTCAAAAAGATGATAATATCCAACAAACAAAAGAAAAGGATACCAGCTAAAACTCTACCAAGTATGTGGAAGCTCTTGCCTTTCCCTATTGAGCAAAAATAGATTGATCTTTAAAAGAAAAATCAATATATATATATATATATATCTATCTTGTTAAAGTTCCATCCACAAGCTACGAGATTTTAAGTGCATTGATAACATCTAAGAAGTACACCAATTTTCTTATGTAGACCATTAAGCATAAATAAAGAAATATAGATGAGGTTAAGAAACTGCAAAATATTTAGATAAGAACAATTTGCAATATTGAAAAAAATATATCAGACAATATTAAATCAAATCTTAAAAATTCATCTCTTTTTATTACTTCACTCATCAATGCAATATCTAGATAAAAAAAATATTCATTTTCATTTGCTACGAATAAGACACATGGATCATCATAGGATGCAATAAATTCCTCGATTAGATCAAAATGAAGAAAATTGAGGAAAAAAACTACATAATAGACCTTGATTTCAAGCCAAGATGAAATGCTATAGTTTAGTTTTCAAATGCATGTGTAATGAGCTTGTCATGCATTACAATGTGCACATCTTTGACTAAAAATGAGAACAAAGAAGATGTCATAGCCAATCCATTTGACACAAGACCCAGGTCTAATGTTTTATTAATTAGTTTTTTTTCTACCTTGTTGGATATAACAAGTGTGAAAAGTCAATAGTTCTCTTCATGTGACTAACCATTGTTAAAGTATGAAAGATGAATGTTTTGTTAGTATCTAGATTACCAAGTGCAGTGTACTAAAATGATTAGAATTGGGAGGGGCTGGTTATCACTTTGATCTAATTAGCCCTCACCCTAGTATACGATATGCAATCATTCGTCGATACTTATATGTGTCAGTGGCGCTACATTGATGGTTCTTCTAACTTCTTGCGTTTTTTGTATAAGAGGTAGCTGAGTTGACCGTGTCGACAGTGAAGGTCACCGTTGGCGCATGGCTCGTGAGATCCGGAGCATTGAGTCGAAGACAATCAATGATTGTATTCAATTCGGTCTCCAAGCAACTCGCGCCGTTGTGGGGCTGCATTGCGCATCTGGCACAGTACAGTCTAAAAACTATGATGGACTGCGCAGTTTTCTTGCTCGTCATCCAAGAGTCATCCGACTTGAAATGCTCGATCCAAACAATCCTCATCGAAGCACAAGGTCCACCAGATCGCGATTCTGCCCCGATGAATGGAGTGTTCTTTGCAACGAAGAGCAGATCTTTGTTGCGCTCTAGTGCCCTCTAGGCGATTGCGTGCTGATATGTTTCTCCTGGAGATGGCCGGCTTTGGAAGTTGGATGATGGGTACCTCGTCTACTTAGCCAGTCTTCATTCTTTCGGCGGCAAGTATGGGTTTGTGATACTTTCTTCATCCATGTTGTCCATCTCAACACATCTCCAATTCTGAATGTTTTGAAACTTGATGAAATCTCACAGATTTAGTTTTAGTCTATTTGACAAATGCAGCTCATGAAATGGCATGACTCCAGGCTCCAACGACGCCTGAATCTTCTCCATGGCAGACGTGAACCACGTCACGCTTGCCACAAGGAGGAACACGAAGGGCGCAACAAGAGAGAAGAACCATCTATGCAGCGCCACTAACACCTATAAGGATCGACAAGTGGACAGAGATTATATATTAGGATGAGCGTTAATTAGCCTAGAGAGAGAGATAACTAGCACCTCCCTTAGAATAATGTGTTGTATATCTTTTGTCTTCTTCTCCTTCATTCTAGGCGGGTATGTTAGCTGTCAATAGTTCATATCAATCATGACTCCTTGGCTACTTAATGTATCCAACTACTAATAAGAAACAATCAACTGTTAGATTTATTTCCAACATAGTATTAGAATTTAGAACAAAATTTTTTCTTTCACTAACGACCGTCAATCAGATATTGGCCACAATTTTTTCTTCTAGTAACACAAAAATATATGAAACTTCAATTTTTTTTGACTTTATGAAGCTAATTGGATGTGATAATTCTCTCAACTTATCGATGAGACTCAAAACAATTGTTTGTATCAAAGATTGCTAGTATGAGATCATTCATGAATCAATTCAACTTCACAATGTTGATGTCATCCATTAGCAAGACATCCACAAGTACATCATCAAGCCCATATCAATGATTCAGACCATGTACATTTTGCCAGACCCGACAAAAAAGTTAACTTTTCTACCGCCAAACGTCACAAAATCTGTGTTTGCTCGAATCATTGCCTTTGACTTGTACTTATGTTTTCTCAACATCACGTGCCAAGCAGATTGTGCAAATATTGCACGTTTTGATCATTCTATCGATGCTAATCATCTTTTGGCTAATTGTCATTTACAAAAATTGGACGAGTCCATCATCTAGTTGTGAATTTTTTGCAGTAATCTAACTATATTAATTTTTTTGGGTGCATGAGACGTGATCAGATCCATTTGATGAAAGAGTAATATCATGCAATCAATAGCAAATCTCCAGAATTTTTTGAGAAATCTTTTTATGTTGAAACAAACTTTATCTGTGATTTCAATGAAGACGCATCTCCCATAGTCAAGATTTATTTGGATTCAAGAGCCAACAACCATGTCACAAGGGAATTTTTTCTCCTGTAGTCATTTCTAGCAGATATTCATCAATATGAGAATTCATCTCCAATGAAATTTGCTCTCTTTAATTATGAAATTCATTCTGCGTATTGATTTTAATAAATTCATCAAACACGTTCTATATGTTTTTGAATTAATAGAACACCTCTTGTCCGTGATACGTCTTATCGATTCAAGACATTATGCATCATTTTGCCTAATTCATGATATTTGCTAGAAGAGAGGTATCCCACCAATGTATTTCTTTGCAAATAGGTAAACAAAGAGTAGATTGTGTAAAATTTAATTTTATGTCCTTGTTTATCTGAAATATTCACTAAACCACTTACAAAGTTTCATGCAGCTCTGCAATACTTCATGCACCTTGAATATACTTATTTTGTCAAAATTATTAAAAACATTCATGTCTTTTGTGATTGTAATGTTTTTGATACATTTATACTTTTGCATCATCATCTATGCCATTCAAATTTTCAGATGTCTCATCATATGTCATCCAAAAGCTTTGTTAACTGTCTGTTTTACTTGCTCTCTTGTCATAAACATAAATGCATCGCTTGTGTTTTATCCAAACAACACCACATTTGTAAAAGTAAGAAGGTTGCAAAGCAAAGCATTTATTTTCCTCAACTTAACCAAACCAACTTCTATGGTGTGGTTATGGAAGGAGCCAAATTTTAGTACATGCTTGGTTTCATTTGAAGATTACTTACGCTATACATGGACCTACTTTGTTTGAGTTAAGAGTGTCACTATTGACTGTTTTAAATAGTTTATCATTTTTTAATCAAAAACTTAATTTTTCCATAAGGTAGGTGTCATCAATACTCTCTAAAGTGACTGGGACTTTAAAATTTTGAACATGCGTACAAATAGTGATGATGAATATTTGTTTGAATTT